CAAATTTTAAGCAAAGTGATCTCCCTAGCTCCATTATTAATGTTATAGGCAGTCATTTCTCCTCCCCTTTTAAAAAGCAGCCATAGGGCTAACCATGATCCCTGGCCCTGGTTTCAATTACGCCAAAGCTGAATCAAAACAGACTGCTGTGCCGTAAATACGAGGGGGGCCCTCTCTGTAAATCGTAAAATTGAATTCTAAAATTTCATGTTAAGAGCCTTGTCTTTGCATAATGGATTGCGCTGCCATCCATCACGGTGACACTTACAAGTCACAGCTGAAAAAGTACTTTATTAGATTTTTATTTTTTTTTGGACAATTTTGATTTATTCTGGTTACACTGTCTGTATAATAGACTGAGCAGAATTTTCATGCCGGTCCCTACGCTCAATAAAGCAACTACAGATATATTACAGAAATCCCTCACTGTTCCTAAGTTATGGCCAAATGGTGTCTCAGGGACTGCTCCCAGTCATCTGCATCTTCTAAACCTGAATCAAGCACCGGGCTCTTAATGACCTTCATCTCATCAGCTCTCGCCTGGTGTTGTTTAGCATTGTTGGCCCATTTTCACTGTGGCTCTGATCAATAGCTGTGATGACAAAGATATGATGAGCTGCGTGACTCCCTCCGGTCACTGCTGCTTAATGATTTTTCCAAGTGCCAATCTCCAGTTGAAAGGGAAAATAAAATAAAATAAAATAAAATAAAGATCTCAGAGGAAACAAATACGGCGTTTCTCATGATGCCTAATTAGTCTTGCTCCTCTCCCCCTGGGCTGCGTTCACAGGATGTTTTTCAGCTGCAGAGTCCTCAGGGCACTGCTTATATTTGGATGCCACACCAAGTAGGTCCCATCACTGTCGTCCCTTCAAATGGAGCATGTTTCAGTACCAGCTCCAGCTACTGAAGACTTGAGCTGTTGCTCCTTATTGCTCTCACTGAGAGATGCAGCCTCTGCTCCAAAGCACTGGATTTTCTCATCTGAGCTGTGAGATTTGATCAGGATCCTTCTCACCACTCTTTGAACTGGAGACAAGACCAGAGTTGAAAGTGAAGTTACACCTTAGTATTTTGATGGGGAACTCCTTTTGGTGAGGGCTGAGTCCTCTTTTTGGGAGTCAAGAACGAAAATGACTTCTCAAAATCAAACCTTAAAGCACAGTGACATTTTCCCGAGGAGATGGTCTGCCATGCCTTTCAAAGGGCATGGACCTTTGAAACAGCATCTAGAGCAATTGTTGACATGCTAGAGGGAAGGAATGCTATCCAGAGGGACCTTGACAAGCCTGAGTGGTGGGCCAGTGTGAACCTCATGAAGTTCAGCTGGGGCAATCCCAAGCACAAATACAGGCTGGGCAATGGATGGAGTGCATACCTAGGGAGAAAAACCTGGGGGTGTTGTTGGGTGAGAAGTTCAACGTGACCCATCAGTGAGCACCCACAGCTCAGAAAGCCAAACGTGCCCTGGGCTGCATCACCAGCAGCGTGGGCAGCAGGGAGAGGGAGGAGATTCTGCCTCCTGCTCTGCCCTAACCAGATCCCACCTGGAGTGCTGCATCCAGCTCTGGGGCCCCCAGCACAAGAAAGATGTTGAGCTGCTGGAGCAAGTCTGGAGGACACCGCTAAGATGCTCAGAGGGCTGGAGCACCTCTGCTATAGACAGGTTGAGAGAGTTGGGGCTGCTCAGCCTGGAGTAGATTCTGGGAAGCCCCTAGAGAACCTTCCAGTGCCTAAGGGGCTCCAAGAGAGCTGGAGAGGAATTTTGACAAGGACATGGAGTGACAGGACAATAGGACATGGCTTCAAACAGAGAGAGTAGATTAGGTATTGGGAAGAAATTTTCCTGCGAGGGTGGTGAGGCACTGGCACAGGTTGCCCAGAGAAACTGTGCATATTCCATCCCTGGAAGGGTTCAAGGCCAGCTTGGATGAGGTTTTGAACAACCTGGTCTAGTGAAAGGGGTTGCTGCCCATGGCAAGGGCTTGAAACTGGATGATCTTTAAGGTTCTTTCCAACCCAAACCAGTCTCTGATGCTATGATAGGGGATTAGTGCTGTGGGATTTGCACCCAGGACCTTCCGCTCTTATGGAAGCAATAAATAACTTCATGCCTGCACACAAGCAAAGCAAGAAGGGTCAGGCAACCAGAACGGTCCCATGGGGAGGCAAAAGTGACAACAAAAAGGCTGGGAAGGAGCTATGGGGCCATCAGTAAGGTGGAAATGCACTTGGGATCCTTTAGAAAAAGCATTTTTCACTAATGAATGGGTAAATTTAGTGCTTCAGGACTGAAAATATTGTTTTGCCACCTAGGTGAGGTGGAAAGCTTTCACAGAGGCTGAGGATTCAGGAATGTAGTAGCTGTCTTTGGACAGGTTTGTCCCCAGTATTAGACGGCCATCCCTTCTAAATTTTTGTTTTGATAGAAAGGAGCAACATATACATATATATACTTTTACATATATATTTTTCCCTCTTTTTGACACAATGTCCATAGTTTCCATACTGGGTGCAGGCGCAGGAGAAGACTGTCATGGACCTGGCAGGCAGACAGGTGCAGTCACATCCCAGTGCTGTTGAGGATGCAGAAAAATGCATCATGGGGGTCTTGCCTTGGCCATGGCACAGAGCTCTGGGATCCTGGCTCTGGGCATGCTGGACAAGCATGGCAGGACTGGGAGACTCTTGGGAAATGGGTGAACTCCTCAAAGTCATTAGCTCATGTAATAACCTGAAGAGTCTGCGTAAGGCTGTAGAGATGCCACCTCAGGCTGGCAGGGTTCCAGTAGGAATATTTTACACTCGAATCTCTTTTCTTGACTCCATGGAAAAATGGCCCATTTATTCTTGCACTGCACCTCTTAGCATCGTAACACATGGACGCAGATGGATACAGAAGCACCGCTTTTCTTCGGAGCTGCTTGGAATGGGGCAGTGTAAATGGGAGGCACAATGAGCTCCCTCTGCTCTGTGGGTCTTTTACCAGGGGTTCATACCTTTTGACCCTGCCTCCTGCAGGTCTCTTTTCATTCCATTCATGCTGTTTGAGACACTCACAGCTGTCACAAGTTTGAGGTTTTAAGAAGGATTGGTCCCTGGTGTGACTTGGAGAGGGAGAAGCAGGGACCTGGACAGCACTGCCAAGAAGGTGCTGCTTCCTTTGACTAGGTGGTTACTGCTGGTTTGGCTAACACTGCCCCTGACCCCCACCTGTGCATCCTCAGGGCAACCAGGCTTACCAAGCGCTTCATACCAGCTATACAGGTGGCAATGCCATGGCCTTTTAACCACCCCTGCAGGCAGCTGCCAAAGCAACCACTCCCTTGCCAAAGCCTGGAGCAGGTCTGGCTAACACATCTTCTCCCACCTGGCTCTGCCAGAGCTGGATCCCCTTTCCAGCTGCCTATGGTTCCCTCCTGCCAAAGTAATAAAGGTTGTGTGCTGCAAGGGGGTGGTTCAGAGTACAGCGCCGGGACACAACATCAGCATCATCACCCTTGCTGCAAGCAGGAGAGATGAGCAGAAAATCAAACCCATACTGTTGGTCATGGTCACACAGCCAAAGGTATTAGGCATTCGGAAGTGGAGGAGGAACAGTCTGTTAGGGGAATTTCCATCCCATCACCTTCCTCCTGGCAAGCACCCGGGAACAGACAGGCAAGGCAGACGGAGCTGGCAGCTGGCTTCTACGGAGAAACCGTGAGAGCACCGGGGCTGCCAATGTTTCGCTGCTCGAGGACTGCATGGCCAACACACGCCCCTGCTGTATCTGGGGCTGAGATCCTGCAGAGGGGTGTCAGTCTGCGCTGGAGGATGGCAGTGGTGGTGGCATGAGTGCAGAAGAGCTGCCTCTGAGTACACAGGTGCATTGTAGGGCTCCGAGTAAGGAAACAGCCTTGGCATGGACTTGCACGGCTTGGGTTATCTCTCTGCAGAACTGGGAAAAGCCAAAGTGGATGGAATAAAAAAAAAAAAAATCAGGACTGAGCTGTTCCCAGAGAGACACAAAAGAGCTCTTACAGTCAGGACATATGCAGGTATCAGTGTGATAGAGACACATATCTAGGACCAGGGTTGGCCACCTCCAGCCAGAGCTCCATTGAGAGGTGGGGTGACACTTCTGCCTGCAGAAACAGCACAGGACTGTTTCAGGCGGGGAAGAGGATGCTGAGCTCATCTCCTTGCTCCCTTGAATTTCAAGGACTCTTGCAAATACCAGAGCACAGAGGTTATGTGAATAAAAATTACATTAGCATGCCGAGCAACTTTGTCAGCAGTTTCTTATTAAAGCACTTGGTCCTCTCTGTAGTGGGCATTTCCATTCAACCTCCCCCTCATCACTGCTAACAGTCAAGTGGGCTCTCCATTAAATTTGAGCTCATGTAAGAAACAGTGAGAGGGTTGATTTCAATATTCTCCTTCTTGTCCCACCACGCACAAGCTGTTGCTACTTATTAAACATTTTATAATCCCTGTTGCCAAAATCCCCAGGAGACATTTATCTGCCATAGTCATAAATGACTTGCCAGCATGCCACTCCAAACTGCATTTCCCAGCCAATAAATACAAGCTCCAGAATCAGGAAAAGCAGGGTTTGGCTCTAATTTTCAGTGGTATGTCACTGGGATACTGTAACTACTTTTAAATTCAAATCAGCTTCCTAAAAATTAACTGGTTTTATCAGATACAGCACACTGGACTGTTAAACACATAGCCTCATGTACTGAAACACTATACATTTAATGAAGTTATGCCATTAGCAAATGTACAACATGGGTGCATTAAATCCACCTATAGAACAGCTCTATGTACGAGAGAGGATTTATTTTAGCTTTTCTCAATAGAGCAGGAGTCCCTTTTCTTGGCTTTTGCTAGGTTATTTAACTAAGACCAGGATTTGCACACATACAAGAAAACCCAAAAAGTATCTACTCTCATAATGAAAAAAGACCAATTTTTTTTCTTTTTTTATTCCAGTTCAGGAAGGAAGAGAATCATCTTGCAAGGTAATATAATCAGCTCCTTTGCCTCTATAATCTACTTCTGCTCAGCAGGAGCCCCCAAAGAAACAATTTATGTCCCAAGTGAAACGTGAAAACTACTTGTAAGGTCCCTTTTGAGGCACATGATTCGGACGGTCACTTTCAGAGTATCAGAATCAGCGTTGTCTTCCATCTCCTTTCTTTCTGGGAAGAGCTCTCTGGAACACCATGGGCTCCCCCTGTTCCAGGTGGAAGGCTATGTCCCTGCCCCAAATCAGAAAGGGTTAGGATGACACTAGTTAGCACAGACACTCATTTCGCACTTACACCTACGGACGTACGTTGACGACTCCCCACTTCAAATTCCTCACAAAGAGGGGGGAAAAGAAACAAAAAAACCCAAAACAAACAAACAAACAAAAAAGGACAAGAGACAGTAAATTTCACTGTGATCACACTACGGCAAAATATACCTTCTGTTCATTGCAAAAAACGCATGAAAGCCAAATTAAAGTGGGAAAAAAGTATGTTGCATGAGTTACAGTGCAACCGTATTATTCCTTCTCTTTCTATTTTCCTCCCCCCCCAACTTGTTCAGTTTAGAAAAAGGATTGAGTACAACACAGTCAGGTAAGTGGCCACAAAAGAGTAGCTGTCTTTGGCAAGAAGTCACCGCATGGACCCTCTCTGTCACCTTCTGCCCATTTCACTCTGTCTCATGAAGTGGATGTTGTTGGCGCTGTCTGAGAGTTCAGGGTACTGCTCCACTGAGATCACAAAATAGCCATCGTAGCCCTGTACCCGGCCCGTGTTTAGCACTTGTTGCTTCTCCCCTTCTGTCCACGAGCGAATACCCTCCTCCCCATCCCGCAGTCTCTGCTGTTCCCGGGACCAAGCTTGGGTGACGGCGCGCTGTCGGGCCAGCTCCAGGACACGTGCCTTCTCCTCGTCCAAGGTGGTCCCGTAGCGTGTGTTTAGACACAGTGCACCGTACTGGAGCTGGATGTCCGTGTAGCGTCTAGTCCTCCCACTCAGCACTGTGTTGATCTGGGACACTGTCACATTCACGCCGTTCTCCAGGGTCCTCCGCCCGCCGCTGAGGCCCAGGATGGATAGGTCACCCTCTGATGGGCCCTGCTTAATGAAATAGTGTGTGTCCACCCCGTCGATGGTGAAGTGCAAGTTCTCCAGGTAGTGGGCGTTGTTCAGGATGGCCGCGATCCTCCGCCCGTCCTCGTTGGCCACGCTGATGATGTCAGTGGCCACACGCCCGTCCTTCATGGCGAACTTGACGCCCTTGCCAAAGATGGAGCCTCCAGAAGCAAAGTTCTTGTTCTTCTTGACATGCTGGCAGCCAGCGATGCTGGAGCTGTAGATTTGTTCGAAGCGCTCCAGGGTGACAAAAGCCTTCAGCTGCTTCTGCACTTCACACTGGACCCCCAAAATGGACTGAACAGGGAGAGAAAGAAGAGAACAACATATTAGAAAGAGAAACCCAAAAGAATTATTAGGATGCTAGAGAGCAGAAGGACATACTGGAAACAAGTGATGAGAGCTCCATTATTTTTTCCCCCTTACCAGATTTTTTCAAAATTTTAATTCCTTTTCATGGAAGAGACATATTGTTCCCTTCCAATGCTCATTTTTTCTGTAAATGGAACTGTATTTAATCTCATAGATTGAAGGATGTAAAGGTAGAAAATGATATTTTTGCCTCAGTGATGTGGGGGTTGAATTTGGACGCATAATTAGGTTCTGTTTCAGTGTTCTTCTGCATATAAGAAACAACTTGTCTTGTAGCCATGATGCTTTACCAAATGCTTTCAGATTTTCTGTGAAGCGTGGAAGTATTTGTAAAAGTTTTTTCTATTATAACTCCATGTTGTAACTCCTAGTGCTGCCTTCAAAGGCCCTGCATGACCTGTATGACCCTCAGAGTGCCATAACCTCTCTGTATTCCGTTCCAGCCTGGCCAAAGCAGGTTGTTCAAAACTAAAGGAAGGCATTAAATCCAAAACTTATTTCCTGAAAACCCTCTACAATTTGCCAGGCTCCCTGAGTTAATGTCAACCACACCTGATGCTCAGGTTTTAGCTTATATTGAAACAAAACTGAGAGACAACAGCCCAGATCATTTGCAGTCCGGTGCAATACAAAGTCACTTTTGCTGTTAGGGTATAATGGAGCAAGCATACTGTGAGTCAGCAGCTCATCATTACTGCAAAAGGTTCTGGAAATGCTCCCATCAATTCATGGTAGTCCTGACTTCTTACAGACTCCTGTTCATGAACAATTATTTGCTCAAATTTCACAAAAGCAAGAATATTCGATGACAAAACTCTCCTGGCACTGCCAACGACTCAGTTCAATAATGTAATGACACCCAGGATTAAAAATAGGCTACAAAGTTTACTCCATTCCAATTATTTTGAGGAAATTAAACACCCATGAAGGATATTGCCTTAAACTGTCCATGAACTAGAGATTCACAGCTTGGGTGCAAGAAGACCATTCTGATGATGCAGGCACTTCAGTGTGGACCTCTCACACAAGACTTGTAACATGACAAGCATAAGGGAATAGAGGAATACAATTTCAAAAGCGCATTTTAGGTTGTAGAACATTAAAATTCCCAGAAATTACTTTTGTTCGAAGTGCTGAGTAGGCTGGTGTACCTTCTCAATTTCCCTTTTTGATTGACAGCATAGCAGGTGGAGCAGGAACCAGCTTCCTATGAAAAAGGAGCTCTTTCTGGTTTTCTGTATTCTGCCTGCGGGGCATCTCACACATTCCCTAGAGAGCAATATAATTAACAGACTGATAGGGAGCCTAGCCCAGCTTCTCTGCCAATTGCACAAGTGCTCTAATTATGCAAAAAATGGACGTAATTAATGTAGATGTCAGTGATGATGGACTTGGAACAATTAGGCTTCTAGGCTCCATGAAACACTCACTGTTCTAAACAAGTGTACACTGCACAGCCTTGGTAATTAGCTACTTCCTCTTCAAAGAAGTTAAAATGGAGAATTCTTCTCAGGTGTATCTCATAGGGGTTGACTCTAGGTGGTCCCTTAACCACTTTGTATGTCATGCTGCCTTTCCAACTTGCCTCAGTAACATTTACCAGTGATGGGAAAAGGCATCTCTCAGCACTCATACCAAATCACTGCTCACTCAAGGATGTAAATTAGGTTTTCTGTGCTACACTGTATGTCCTGTGATCACTTATGTATCACCATCTATATATACATCACCTTGTTTACCAGCAGGTGAGTGATAAAGAGTCCCTGGAATTAATTGCACCATCTACTGATTATCACCTTGGGGAATGGAGCTTGGGGAGGTCGGGCAGTACTGGGCACGGACGAATAATTCCTATCAAAAATTGCCCCTGTTCCCCTTCCTTTTTGTCTTGATCACCTTATTCTTGATGAGCTGCAGGAACTCTAGTATGTTTTTGATTATGAGCAAATTATTAGGTAAAGATATGAAGGTCTCTAAATTAGGATGCCTGAACAAACCAGTGGATCTGGGCACCACTGTAATATCAAAATTCACAGGCAGAGACGTACTTTCAGATGTCTTAATTAAACAAGAGCACAATCAAAAAAAGGTTTTCTATTGGGGACTGGTTACTTCTGGGCTCTCCCCACCTTTTTTTTCACATAGGGAAGCAGGAAATGAGATGTGCAAAGCTGTAACGCTGAACAATCACCATCACCTAGAACCACAGACTGGTTTGGGCTGGAAGGAACCTTAAAGATCATCTAGTTCCAAACCTTCTGCCACAGGCAGGGACAACTTCCACTACACCAGGTTGCTCAAACTTCACTATTAGCTATCATCTATTTCAATAACTAAATGCATCTCTGTTACCTTGAAAACAAGCCCAGGATGACTTTGAAATGACTTTTTGAGTGCATTTCTTTGATAAAAGAGTGTATTTGGGAACAGCATTCTGTTAAAAGGAAAAGCAAACACATCCAGCGGGAAAAAACCACCAACCAACAAATTCAAGCAAACCAGAGCACAGCCAGCGTGTATGCTGTGCTGTGAATATAAAGAGGGTGGAGGCAAACAGATTATACATAGTTCAAAGGGGCAGTATATCCCTGACTTTGAAATTACCATTTGTGTTCAATCTTAGAACTCATTTCAATGAACTGGCAAGGAAAAGAAACAGAAAATTTCCATCCAAAGCTGCAGTGGCATGTGCTATTCTCTAAAATTGCTGCTGCTTTTAGCAACTGTAAACCAAGGCATCTATAAACCAGTTTTACAGAAGAAAGAAGGGAATTCATTGCTATTTTATTTCAATATTTGTTGCTCAATGTGAGTGACAAATATGCTGGGTTTGTTTTTCCTCACAGTCTTTTTTAATCAGATGTCCTTAGGTGACATTTCACTTTATCTAGTAACAACCCTTTGGAGAGAAGAGAACGACCTTCATCATTTGTTCTCTGCTGCAGAAAGCTCAGGAGAGCGGCACATTACCGGGATCTCTGAATAGCCTCTTGCATTTTGCCAGCACCTCTTGAGGATTTGAAATACCATCGCCAGATCCTATCATCTGTTGTTTTTAAATACCACCTTCCAGTGTGAGACTGAAAGCTTTAATTTCCCATCAAGGACCCAAGATGTGAAATACGTGAACATGCTTCCAAGTTTCTTTCTATCCTTGTGCCATTATAGACAGATAGGTGTTTGTCTTACCACCATATGGCTTACAATGCAGAAAGCTACTTTTTCCAAAAGGTTTGGAAGTTGCGAGTTCTCTGATATATTATTCATTTTTAATGCCTTCCTATTTATCACAGTATCACAGGAAGGCTTGGTCTGTAAGACCTAAAAGATGATCTTCTTCTAACCGTCCCCCACCATGGCCCAGGATGACCCCACTAGACCAGGCTGCCCAAAGCGACCTAGCCTTGAACAATCCCAGGGATGGGGTATCCACTTCTTGTCTGGGCAGCCTGTGCCAATGCCTCACTGCTCTCTGGGTACAGGATTTTAATTTAAAACTGTTCCCCCTTCACTTATCCCTATTTGCCAGTGTAAAAAGTTGTTCTCCCTCTTCTTTATAAGCCCCCTTTTTATTTACCCCATAGCTCTCTGTTAACAAAGCCATTGCTCAGCCATCAGCCTCCTCCCTACATTCCATGTGGCCATCACTTGGAGACAAGTCTCTGTTTGGATGTGCCCACCAGCATGGCTGCACTGCAGGCTCTTGGGTTGTCCGAGAGGTGATGTGTGGGGGAGCAGAGGTGATCCATGGGCCAGCAAGGCCAGTGCTCTGGATGCTGACTGGCTGGGAATGAGCCAAACAGGAGCACTAACTCAGGGGCTTAGAGGACAGGTCTCTCCTCCACCCTGCCACTGTACATGACTGTTGGGGGATAATGAGGTTGACTTCATTAAGCAGATTTCAAGTGTGGAGAAGTAAGAGGATTTGCCTCCTCCTCTTGCTCATCACTTTACAGATATCTTATCTATTTTCATAAAGCCTCAAGAGCTTAATGTCTTTGAGACTTCAACTGCTTTCCCTGTATTGGATCCTTTGAAAACTGACAAATACAATACGTAAGTGGGGGCTGATGGACAGACAGCGTGACAGTCCAAGCCCAGGCTAAAGCACCTGCAGTGTCAGGATGCCTTCCCTGAATGATGAACACCAGCAGAGCCAGTCTCTCAAACAGATTGTCCTTGGAAGAAGCTCTGCCAGAAAGCACAGCCCTATAGCTCACTTCCTGGCTGAGCATCCCAGAGCAGCCCTTGGCTCCAAAATGCTGCTCCAGAGGGGATGCCAAAAACTACTTCTCCAGCAAAGCCTGTAACAGGCACTGCAGAAAACAGGACCCTTCCTGGAGACAGTGCCCATGGGATTGAGAGAATGTTAGTTATAACAGGATGTAGATAATGATACAAGTGCTGACTCCAAAACACCCCTCCCTGGAAATAGAGTTGTTCTGGCTCCAACAATTACCTGACAGCTCAACAAGACAAAAAAGGAAGGGAAGAAAAATAAAAAACAACAAAAAACCAGAAGAGAAATTGGATTCAGGTGCCGCAGTTCTACAATATGCCAGAGGTCACCCAGAGTCCCCCAGTGGCCAATAACACCGAACTTGTTCAACAAACAATTTAGTGACAGCCTCACAGTCGTGGGGAGGAGGGGGGGAAGTGCTGCACAATGGAGTATTGGATTTTAAATGTCACTTCAGAGCTTTAGGGGGTTAGTGCAAAGCTTATGACATGCTGGCTGTTTTTGAGGTGGTGGATGCTCAAAGTCAGAATTATCTCTCCGGTCTTCCAAACCGGCAAAGCAAGTACCAAAAAATGTTCTGGAAGGAGATGCTAGGGCCCTCTGGTTATGCACTCTGAAGAGAGATGAAGCAGCCATTTATGGGTGTTAGTTGCTTTGTTATTGTGCTCCTTTTAGTTGTTTCTCTCTGATAAAATAACAGACTCAATCTGGCGGGCTAACTTTGATCAGCAAATACAGTATAGTAGCTCAAATATACTTTCGTCTATCACAAGGAGGTATGTGACCCAGAGAAACTAGGGATCAGAAGACATGGAGATGAGAAAGTTGTACATCATTCAGTGATCAATGCCTTGCCCAGGCTACTTTTAAATGACAAAAGATCTAGAGCCTACCCTATATGCTCTGCAATACCATATACAGTTTGATCAGTCTTATTAACTGAAAATGTTTCCTGTGCTTTCATTTACCTTGTTTTGTTATTTCCTATGTGAAATTTTCAAAAGTTTCTATTTTCTTCCACATGCTTCATCAATAAATACAGAGACAACCAGTGACAAGGAGGACTGGACTGTGTCTGGGAATGTGTATTGATGCCTCAAAGGGTTGGGAGTGAACAGAACTTTATGGATACATCAGTGTTGGATGCATGGATAGGCGTACGAGAAAATGGATCATGTGTTCAGGTATCATATGTGAATGAATTTTGGTATATGCAAATATGTGCCTACAATATGCTGTAGGTGTGACAGACAGCAAGGGAATCCTGCTCTACAGCATTTAAGAACCACTTACTATCACAGCAGGATCCTGCAACTGTAGACTGAAATAAAAATGCTCAAGTTTTGTTACTGTCATAACAGGGGAAGAATATGAAACAGCCTGCAATGGCTAAACTCCACTTTCAACATCTGAGTGCAAAGGGACTCATCTGGAAGCATGACAGCTGTATAAAGCCCTCTTTTAACGAGCAGGGCCCTGCATAGCCCTTACTGCAGCTTCTGGCTTTAAAAACCTGTGAGGGACATGGAGATTTCCTTTTTTTCTTATTGCTCCTTCAAGCAGATTCACCTAAAATTGGTGGACAGAGGGGAGGGTTCTCCTTGATTTTATTTCCAGCTCATCTGCCTATAGGAACAAGGGTCAGTCATCACTGTGAGCTGTCACTCAAGTAACTTAGCTATTCAATAAGTCAAATAATGATATCATAATACACATTAAAAATTATATACATATTACACACTATAAAACACATAATGAACTAATGATAAAATAATAATATAATACTACCAATAATAATAATTTCTGTGGTGGTTCTGTAAGAGTTATTATCTACAGCACATAACAATACAGAGATGGTCTTCTGTGCAGTCTCTGGGTGAGCCTTTCCTGTTTACCTACTCCTCTACAGCTTTGCCCAGGGAGACTGTGTCCCAGCAGAGAGGAGGAAAAATCCTGAGGCTCTCTCTCATTAGAGAAATAACTTCTATTAGCATTTTATTGCTTAATCCAAGGAAATAAGAAACAAAAAGGGAGTCTCTGAGCTCCAAACCACAACTGAGTCACTGCACTGTAACAATTTTCAAACATCAACCCAGCCATGGTAATTTTTTTAGTTCCCCCAATATTATTAAGGGACACCTCATATAAATTTCTTGTTGAAGTTCAAGCTGGTACATTTTAACTTGTCTTCAACATGGCTGTGAGGCTGGGTACCAGTGATGGACTGAGCCATGACTATTATCAATCTAATTTGTTTGTACCATTGTTTGTACCTTTGGTGGTTCAGGAAATGTGACCTCCTGGTTTCAGATTATACCTCAAGAATCTGCTGCAGGTCATCAAGATTTCAGTGAAGCCATAGGTAAGAGGGCAGATGGAATCAATTCCATTGCCTACCTTTATCATATTATTAGCAGAAATGTGGAGAGCATGTCCTGATCTCCCCAAGCACGTTGGTGCCTCACTGCTCTTGAAACGTTTGAGCACCCAGAAGCAGCAAGTGGGAGTTCAGGCTAAAGAGGATTCAGACTAAACAGATGAAAGCCACCCCAGAATACAACCAGGTTATTAAATGGAAGAGAATCCTGAAAGGTAAATGACTTTCAAGGTCATACACTGATAAGCAGTAGGGCTGGGGTTTAACCTGGGGCTCTCAAATCCTGACCCTGTGTTCTAACTTTTAACAGTGCTGCCTCTGTCTTTTAGCTGAGTAAGTCCCAAAAGGAAGATGGGAAAATGATTGGGCTGCTAAAGCCTTTTTCTTGGCAATTTTATCACTGAATTTTGCACCAGCATCTACCAAAATGCCTTGGGAAACAAGCCTGTTTTTAAAAGCAGGACATAGTTACATGGGATTTAACCCGGTCAGGTAAAATGAAAGTTTAATATCATAAAAAAATTCTTTTTGGAAAGATTCTCTGCAATACAAAAGAGTTTCCTGTGCAAGTAGTGTGACTTCTTGTTTAAGACATTTTCAACCAGAACGAATAGGTTTCCAGAACAAAAAAACACGCCCAAACTTTATAAACCAATTCTGTATCAAGATTAGCTTTTTTTAACTTCTAAAAATCCTGAATGCAAAGGCCTTGAATTTAGCCTGCAATATGTGATAATGGGGCCTCCTGTGTGAGAAAGAAACAGCAACACACCACTTCACTGAGCAACCACCAGAAAATATCTCAGGAAAAAGCACCATGGCAGTAGGGAACTTGATATTTGGTCAGATTTCAATACTGGAATGGGGTTTGACTCGCTCTTCATCTCACAACAGGCTGGTAGAGCTTTTTCAACCAACATTGCAAATGGGTAGTTTGCTGATAAGGGCATGAGATACAGTATGGAGTTACATGGATCACCTTGCTATTGTCCCATTCCTGGGTTTTCATCTGTGTGTGGATTAGCTCATAGGATGGCTCCATGGCATCCATGTCTGGCTTGGGGTAGCCGGGGATGACATTGTGCAGCTGGAACCCAAAGGTGAGCAGCCAACTGTTGACATCTGGAAGGGAAGAGAAATGTAAATAAGATTACTTGATCTCTCAAGCAGGATTGCCCAGGAAAAGGCCCAGAGGAGGACCCGACGGTGGCTGGCACTGTACCAGTCTGGACAAAATGATGAGCTTCTGCTTTGTGTGAAGAGCAGAAATCTTAATGGTCCTACAATGAGCTGTGTGCCAAAATCTGGCCTTTCCACCTCCAGCCAGAGCCAAATTCTGTGCTTTCCCAGATCTGAAACAGAAATGTTGGCAGTGAGCAAATGGCCCAAATCAAAGCCAACTTCATATCTGCCCTTCATCAGCAGAAACCAAGCACTGCTTGAAGGTGTGCAGAAGTACAGCAACAGTAACTCACTTGGAGGCTGAGATGCTCCAGCCAATTGGGAAGTGTTATGCAATCCTACAATCAGCTCAGAACACCTCAGCCCCAATACTTCTCTCCCTGAGGACTCTCAAAGGGTCTGTAGGCTGAAGACTAGATTTAGAGCTATGTGCCAGAATACCAGGACATCCAGGATGGAGAGCTCAGGCATTTAGCTGGTGCTCACAGAAGAGGCTCTGGACATATCCACTGCTTTTTCCATGAATTTCCACCTCAGTCCAGAGTTTCCTGGCATCTTTCATAAGGAGCTGTAGTTTGAGTACTAAACCAGTGTAAAGTCACATCATCTTTTACAGTGATATTTATAATTCGACTTCATACTACCTGCAATTATAGTGAAAATAAGTGTACAGACACGAGAGATATTTTGCTTGGGTAGTTTTTGCAAACACCTTAAAAAAAAAGTCTATGGATGGTGAGAAAACTGGTGGCTACCAGTGATAAACTATTGTCTTATACAGAAGAGGGATCACTGGCACTAAAGGGAACTTGATGAAAACCTAGGCATTTGGAACATCATTCCTGCATTTACTTTCCCAGTAGATTACAAAGTCTTCCTTGATTTTTTTATTGCACAGCTATTAGGAATAGCAGGTGAAAGTTAATCTGCTGGAGGAAAAAATTATGAGGTTGGGTAACTCCTAGATCTGCTTGGGATTAGCATCACTTCCCCCCTTAACTTCAGAGCATTCCATGAGCACACCTTGTTTGCCTTCACTTAGCTCCACAGGACACACCTGCTACAGTCCCTGAGCAATATGGTGTGCATTTGGCACACAATAGCAATTCCAAGGCAAAAAAAGGTATGAAGGTGAAGTTTAACTAATATTAGCTCCCAGGACTCTTAAGTGTCTGGATGTAACTGGAATTTTGTTGGTGATTGCTCTGCTTCAAGTTGGAAGTGCAAAGGCTTGACTTTCATTTTGCTAAACTCAATTAGTGTTGTTGAAACAATCTGGAGACAGAAAAACAATTAAATAATCGAATATGCATCTTTGAATATTTTTTTCTCTATTCCCATGAGCCTAAATTAATGTTTTGAAGAACTGGTTGGAAAAGAAATTATGGATGCAAGTGGCAAATAATGCTGTTCCAGATGACTGGAGAATCAGGAGCCAAACAAACACACTATCTGTTGCTTGTTTTCCTACAGGCCAAAATGTTGCGATTGGGCAGATGTCCAAAAAGCCCTTGCGACAATCCATGTGGAAGAGGGAGGATTTCTGTAATAAAAACACTTCTGTTCACTCAATGTACAGATTGTTTTTGGAGTGTCTTTGAAACAGAGAGGTTGTGGGGGGGGGCATGAGAGAAATGAAAAGGCTCATTTGATTATTTTGTTGCCTAGTGCTAAGCCAGCCTGTCTCCAAATCCTTCTTAACTCAAATGAAGAACTTTGATGTACATATTGTGGACCAGGTGGTCAGGAGAACAAAGTAAAACAGTGAAGGTCAGCACTGGTGCAGGAATCATTTCCCAAGCACTTCAGAAATGCTAGAAAGAATACAGAGCATGGATGCTGAACTGTTGAAAAATATGTAACATGTCTGGAAATATCCCACACAGGGGTTTTTTTTATACTTCACAGAAAACTGACTTCCAAAACATTTGCAAACAGGAATTTGTTCTTTTTGGGGAGAGGTGTTGGAATACCCAGAACAAAAAAACCCCACCAAAACAAACAACCTGAAACCATGGGAGGAAGGTGTGGAGCTGAGAAAACAGAGGGGAAAATACTAATTTGCCAGGAGGCAGTGACAACTTTTTTGACAGAAAAGTACATTTCACATCACAGAGGTTTTTTTCAGCTACAGTAACCCTGCCAACACATTTCACAGTAAATTCATTTGAGGGCAAAGAAAAAGAGTGCTTAATGCAGACACATGTAATGGAAATGTCAGTTCAATCCATCAGGATTGCTGAAGCTGGCAGCAAAGCTCTCTGCCATGAAGTGTACAATCACTAAAATATTCATGTTTAACAATGGGCCTCTCAAAACATAAATACCTGTTTCTCCTGCTCTCCCCTCCACATACCTTCCATTTCCTTAAGCTCAGAGACCTCATCATTGTGGACCAAAACACATGCTGGTCACCCATGTCCTGGGCAGGGAGCTCCCCTAAGGACAAACAGGTCCCAGCACGGGAATGCAGGGACAGAGAGCGGTTCCCTGTTCTCCAGATCTGGGCAGATTTGGTTGTGATGACAAGGACAGTCTTATCATGGGTCTTGTCCACGAGGTGCCTGAAAGCCTGAGCAAAAAGTGCTGGGGCAGCAGCCTCGTGTCACAGCACTCATCCCATAGCATGGCCTGCTTCTCCCACGCACTGGGAGAGGAGAAACTTGAAAAATGTATTTGGGGTCTGTATTCTTGAAAAACTAAAAGTTAAATTTATAAGGCCATGGAAAAATTATTTGCTGCACATAAAATATTAGTGTATCAGGTTTTGACATCTTGATTTTATTGTCAGAGCTGTGTGGGAAGCTGTGCACCTGTTCTAACACAGGGCTAGAAAAAAATATTTTGTCCTTTCTTAACTTGAGCAGGAAAACAAAAATCTGTTAATATGTCACAAAGCAACACTTCAAAACCTAGATCTGTTCAAACCAAAAATTTCCAATTAACTTCTGAATTAAATTCCATGTTGGTTTTGGCTCCTTATTTTTCTTTTTCAGTTTTCAATCATTCGTTTACACTTAACTTGAAGAGGTTTAAAATCCAAAATACATTTTTCTTTAAGGACATTCTGGAATTTGTAATTTTGACAATTTTGAGAGCTGTGTATGCTTCTGCTGAGAAATCTCTCAAGCTCAACCCTCCCCCATAAACAAATTCAGTTTTGACAAATAAGCATTTTCTGATAGGAAAAGTTATCTTGAGGTATTCCCTCCCAGCCTTTATTATCAGAGTGAGAGCAATGTACAGGATCTTAGTCTGCATCTTTTGACATATTTTACTACCCTTGTGGTATCATCTTCTCAGCTCTGGAGAAAACAACTTTTCATGAAAAAAACTCATGATCTAATCCTTATGATTATTGCACAAGAACCAGAAAGCCCAAATCCTAATGGCTAGAAAAAACAAGCAGGATAGAAAACCCAAGATTTTTAGTTTGTAACATTTATTCGCTATTAAGCAGATCTTGTAACTCAGGGGAATGCAGTTATTGTTGAATATGGGAATGTTATGACAGATGCAGTAGGAGCATTTAAAAATTAATTCTATCTCCTTAAAAAGTATGCACATTTGACGTTTGATTGTGGCACCTGGCTTTTCAATGGGAAGTATCTAGAAAAAAAGTCCTACCAAAATGTCTTCTCAAACTTCTCATTGCTACCACTGCTGCACACAGTATGAAACTAGGTTTGAAGGGAGAAGGGGACAAAACAAAGCTGTCTGGAGATAAACGTGGGGGCAGCACACCAATGATAGAAGGACAATTTGCTAGTGAGGTCCTTCAGGCTGCTATCTCAGTACAGCAGGGCATGGCAGCAAACATGCAGGGTGATCAGATGGCCAGAAGGCCAGTGCCATCCTGTCTGTATCAGCAGTAGTGTGGCCAGCATGACCAGGGCATTGGTTGTCCCCCTTGTACTGGTACTGGCACTGGTGAGGCCACACATTGAATCCTGTTCAGTTTTGGGCCCCTTACTACAAGAAGGAAATGGAGGTGCTGGAGTGTGTCCAGAGAAGGGCAGTGGAGCTGAGGAAGGGTCTGGAGTCTGATGAGGAGAAACTCTGAGGGAGCAGAGGGTGTTTAGCCTGGAGAAAAGGAGGCTCAGGGGGGACCTTCTCACTCTCTACAACACCTGAAACAAGGTTGCAGTATATGGTGGGGGCTGGTCTGTTCTCCCAGGTAATAAGCAATAGGACAAGAGGAAACAACCTCAAGTTGCACGAGGGCAGGTTGAGACTGGATTTTAGGAAAAATTTCTTCACAAAATTTCTTCACAAATTTCTTCACTGCCCAGTGGAAGAGGCTGCCCAGGGCAGTGGTGGAGACACCACCCCAGAAGGAATTTTAAATGTAGTTGAAGCACTTAGGGACACTGTTTAGTGGTGGATGTGGTAGTGCTGGGTTAATAGTTGGACTTTATAATCTTAGGGTCTTTTCCAAACTAAATGATTCTATGTATAAAGGAAGGCCATTTAACATACAAAAGGATTTTTCTGTAAAAATACCCCAGAGCTCATATTTACAGAAATTTTACAAAGTTTCAGGGGAAGCAGTTCAGAGATTGTATCAAGCTTTGGGGTAGGTGTGTTCCAAATTCTGTCCTACAAGTCTAAAGCACTTATTTTCTTGACTTTTTGTAGACACTGTTGATTCTGCAAGGCTGATTAACTTTGAAGTACATAGCTAGTAGTGTAGTAGTCATGTAGACACTCTGAAATGGCTGACTGTAATGAAAGGTTTGAATTGCTTTGCCATTCTGCTAAAATAATTCTGTATGCCATTTGTTTAGTTGCAAATAAATCTCTAGACAAAACTGTGTAAACAGAGCTGCCCCTCTACAAAGAGAAAGGTCATTAGGACATAAATTGGTAGCTAAACTTCAAGTATCTGAGGGACAAAAAGCTGTAAGCAAAATAAAAAGGAAAAACACCTAAGAAGAGAAAGGAAACAGGTTTGGGAATTACCATCTCCATCTATGCTAATGAATTAAACATGCCCTGTACATGGGGGTCCAACTGGCAATCTAAAACTTATGTCCATTAATTAAAGAATGGAAAACCTCGTGGTGATCAGGACACTGAGAGAGGAATTACCTATTGTACTGGTTTTGGTGAGGATAAATTTCTTTATAGTAGCTGGAACAGGGCTGTGTGTTGGATTTGTTCTGGAAAGTGTTGGTAACATGGGGATGGCTTTGCTACTGCTGAGCAGTACCCACACAGAGCCAAGGCCTATTCTGCTCCTCACCCCACTCCACCCCACCAGCGAGGGGGCTGGGGGTGCACAAGGAGCTGGGAGGGGTCACAGCCAGACAGCTGACCCTGACTGACCCAAAGGATATCCCAGACCAGAGAGTGCCATGTAAAGCTGGGGAAGAAGAAGAAAGGAGAGGACATTTGGAGTGATGGTGTTTGTCTCACAAGACACTGTTTTGTGGGATGGAGCCCTGCTGTCCTGGAGATGGCTGCCTGCTGATGGGAAGTAGAGAATGAATTCCTGGCTTTGCTTGCACAAGCAGCTTTTGATTTTCCTATTAAACTGTCTTTATATCAATCTCTGTCTATGGGTTTTCTCACTTTTTCAGTCCCCCATCCTCCCTGGGAGGAGTGACTGAGCAGCTGTGGGGCTTAGTTCCGTCTGGTGTTAGACCATGACAGCTATTTGTCGAAGGCAAGCTTGTGAAAATGTTTATTAATTTAAATGTCTTACCTGTCATGTAACATTTGATATCCTGAGAATTGCTAATGGGGTTGTTGTTTTTGAACATATACAGGTTGAAAGGCATTATGTTATTGCTACTCAGATGCTTCCACATATCATGGTCCGGGCTTGTCCAGCGACCCGCTAGCACATCGTAGTCTCTCCGCCCCATGTGGATAAGTTTCGTGAGGGGGTCATACAGTCCTCCATGGTAGCCGATGATGATCTGGAAGTTGGGATTACTGTCCATATAGATCTCCCCATATGCTGTGTACAGTATCTGCTTGATCATTAAGCCAGTCCCACTGAAGACAGCCAAAGGAGTACCAATGTTATCGCAGGCTATGTAGAATTCATCACCGCTGCTGAGCTCCATTGCAAAGAGGTGGCCTTGGAGGTCATAGTACAGGGAGGTGATCTCAGAGCTCGAGTGGTTGTACAAGTGGGTGACTTTTGTTGGGTTGGTCAGATCTGCGTAGAAGAACTGCAAGTGATGGCCATGGCTGGTTTTGCTGGAGACTCTCCTTCCTAGGCCATCATAGCGGTACTTCACACTCCACCCACTTGCTTTATTGTAGGCTTTGATGAGCAGGCCAGCTGAATTGTACTCAAAAATATCATTGCCCCTTTGCTTCAGGAAGCCATCTTCATCCATTTTGTACTGCACATCCCCCAGTCTAGTAATCCTATCCCTGAGGTCATATCTGAGTGGTGTAAGGCGGGCACTATTCCCCGGACTCAACAGATGGAGGTTTCCATTAAGGTCATAGCTGTAACGCCACAGAGGTTTGTCATTGATAGAGACAGTCTGCAACTGGCCATCAGCATCATATTCATAGGAGTAACGAGTTGTGTTTGCGTAAGGGCCAACCTTCAGCTCTTTCTTAACCACTCTCCCCATGTTGTCATACTGCACAGTCATCCAATACATGAGAGACCGGAATATCTCATACTGGACCTCCTTCATCCTGCCATAGGCATCAAAATGTTTAGTGTGGGTCATGACAGCAGTGGTGATAATCTGGTTGATATCGTAGTAGATGACCCCAAATTTACCAAATTGCTCAGTTTTGCCTGACACGTCATCGTACCTGTAGAGGTCGATAGGCAAAGGCGTCTCGTTGATGACCGCTTGCATGCTGGTCACCCGGAAGCTGTTGTCATAGTTGTAGTCAAAGCGTGCATTCACCATGCCCTCCTCAGTGAAGCGGAAAATCTGTCGGTCAATGAGGGGTCCTATCTGTCTGTACCTGATGGTGCAGGTGAACCCTTCATTCTGCAAGTTTATGGTCTTCAGCATGCCCGCAGTTTCATCGTACGTAAAACTGATCTTTGTGGTGTCGTAAAGCATCTCGGCTAACTTGGACAGCTTCCCATACTTGTAGATGACACGTCTCCCTGTGCCCAAGTACAAAGTGTGGAGGAGCTGCTCATCCTCTGTGAAGTCCTGAATTACTGAGGCATTGCCTTCGGGTGGCCGGTAGATGTTCCTGTAGTAACCAATGGAACGAATGGTTTCCAAAGTCTGACGGGCAACATTGGGCATGGTCACTGAGGATAACCGGTCATTCTTGTCAAACTCAAAGATGTACTGCCTCTGGCTGTGAAGGAGCAGCACCATGGACTAGATGGAAAGAAGAAAAGTATAGATTATATCCCCGTTTTTCCCAGCAAAATTATACTCTCACAAAACCTGTAAGACTCCTTAATCCAAAGAACAGGGCAAGTAGGACGAATCTCTGTGCCCATAGAATTCAACAGTGAAAGGTAAGGAGCTGCACATGGCACATCAGTGTCCTCAAACATGAGTGGGTCAATGGAAGAAGCAGTTAATGCAGTGAGGAAGGTCCAAGTTCAGAATGCTCAGTTTTTCAAATCACTACCCTATAGCTGTCTTACAAAATCTCCTGTGCCAATAGTCTTTGAAAGCTAACTAAATAGAATTGCTTGAAAAAGTATCCCCCAACACCTTCCAGTGATGAATTAATTAACTGTGTCAACCCATCTTCTGTTATCCTCTTCCTCCAAACTTCTGCCTGCACACTTATTTGTTCTGGAATTTTATTTTTTTTTTGCATATAACAAACAATCCACATAGATTGTATAATACAAGGAATAAGTCAATACTTTTTCCTTTTTAAAAGATATGGCACAACTACAGTTTCCTTAAACTGTTTTAGGGATAGGTGCTATTCAAAAACCAGGAATAAAAAATTCCAGTCCCAGGTATATATTTTATGGATCTGTGGATAACTGGGCAGTGTAATGCTGAATGGTAATACCTAGAAAATATAAGTTCCATGCTAACCTACAGAGTGAAGGCCCCAGGAAACACTGCAAAGTGTGCTACAAGTGTGGCTGAATTAATGCCCCACTTATTAATTACATGTATTTTTGTAAGTAGAAATGGGCCACTTGAAGAAGGCAGGATGACAGACTCTATAGGTTGTTTTCACATGGAAAATCCTGCTGGAAATTCCTACTGTTCACTCTGCTGACTTTATCTGAGCATATTTTATATTGCAGTCAACTAAGTAAAGCAAGATTGTGCTTAAAAAATCATGCGTCAAAGCTTCACAGTTCACATGCTCTCAGCATGACTGGGAAAAAAAGATATCAGACAATTTTCAACTGTGCTGTGGTGGTCTGGCATGAAAGCCACTTTCTGCACCTTAGTGGGACAGAAGAGGAGGACTGGACCATAAGGACCAGCAATTAGCTGAGGTGAAGGAGTGCAGGTGTACCGATGTCAAAGGAGAAAACCCATGTGCCTCAAATGCACCATCTCTGCGTGCCAAGACCATTCTTACCTTCTCCAAGTAGGTGTAGCTCCACGATTTACCATCAGCAAAGATTCTGGATGTAATTCTGCCAGACTGATCATACTCCATCCTTTCTGACATCGTGCCCCTCTGAATCCCTGCAATGTGTCCTCCTGGGGAATAGGTGACATTGACCCCGTTCAGTCTGCTGCTGGGTGACCAGAGACTGGGCCTCCCTGCGTGGTCGTAGAGGATGCGGAGTGTGAACTTGCGGTGGTCATCATAGATTTTCTCAGTCCTTGTCACGCGATCAAAGTCAAGGGACAGCAGGTTTCTGTTGTGAACCTACAGGAAAAAGAGGGAAAATTAGGAAGCTGGAAACAGTGTACTAAGTTAGAAAGACTAGCCTTGTTTCACCAAATACCTCTTTACACCGCACTGGAGAGTATCCAGCTGTTGATTGCTACTGGATAAGACAGAATTTTTAAAGCAAAGAGTTGTCCTAACATTGCTTTTATTGACTTCAGCGAGGAGAGAGGCAGAAGTATGGTACTTTTGAAACACCACAGTGAAGGAATATTGCTCATATCCCAAATCTGGATTTAGGACTGCTACAGCAGATGTGACCTACAGAACACAGAATGACAACTTATTGCAAGCAATATTTCCAAGATATTCTACTTATCAAACCTAGAATATTGAGTCTTTTGCTTTCATGCAATTCAAAACACACTTGTAGAAAAGAAATGGATGTTGTGCCACCATAGCAGAAATCAGTGTTTTTCTCCAAGTTTACTGAATATAATGCAGGCATTGGAGGTTAAGCATTTCCCCTGAGATGAAATGCAGAGGCTTTAACCACTGTAGATCTTACAAAGAGCAGGACCTTTAACTTCATTGTCCTGGGGTTATTCAGAGTGGCATAATTATACTCTGATCTTTGGAAATGCAGAGGCACGGGAGGTAAGCAAAAGTATCGACTTCAAAGGCAAGAGCAGGAATACATTTCTATTCAGGGATTGCAGTGCACAGCAATACAAAAAGCAGCTGATAATACAACTCATGTTTGGCCATGTGTGCAAGGAGACTTACAAAACCACATCATCACAGCAGCAAAGTACTGGTTTGAAAGCAAGGAGGAAAACCAGTATTCCCAGTAAGAGCTTGCCAGTGAAGATAGATCTTTCTCCATCCCACCACTTCCAAACCTCTTTCAGCTAGTGAACAGCTTTCTTCTGGAAGGGTGTAGATTCTTCTTGGATGAATCTCAAACTCCAAACACCTGGCTTGGTTTTCAGTTCCCTTTGCAGCCCTTCAGCTACAGTCAGTAAACCAGACTTTGCTGCTTGCTATGAAGTTTTCAGATCAAGTTAAAAATACTGCCCTATCCTGCTCTGGGTAACACTGATACTCCTGACTGAAGCGTTCAAAAACATGCAGATGTGGCACTTGAGGACATGGTTTGGTGGGGAATATGGTGGTGGTCCTTATTTTAGTTTGACTTGTAGGACTTTGTATGGTTGGACTTGCAAGAGAAAGGATGGGGTTCAATCAACAAAGAGGTTCCTCAGCCCTGGAAGAATAGGAGAGGGAAAGGCTGAATCACTGCAGTGCTTTTGTCTTGCATGGGCAGACATCTGTGCTGAAGCCTAGAAAACGGGGACACCAGAAAGCCAGAATTCGAAAAAATTATCACAGGAGCTGGGGAGAGAAGGAATTGTAATGTACATGATGTATGTGTGAGGATGATGTAAAAGGCAAGTGAAACAATTTTCAATTTATGAATAACAAAGATAAAAGTTGCATATGACTTCAGGAAAGAAACTTTGTAGAAAGGTAGACAATGCTCGAATTAAATGTGTATGATACAGAGTGTAAATGTGCAATGGGAGAGAAGAAATCAGTCACTATAACAGGGAAGATGGAAAATAATTAAAAAGGTATCAAAACTCTTAAGTACAGATGCGTAACTAAGAGGAATTTGGTATCTCCTCGGCACTTGCTGCTGTAGAGAGAGAAACACAAGAGGCAATTCCTTCCAAAAAAAGACCAAAGCAGGAAGTAATAGCATCTCTGCCTTCCATATATTCAAAGAGCAGCTCCATCCTGGCAGCTGCAGCTTCTTCTTCTCCAGATCTTTGCCAAGAAAGCTGGGAAGGGCTCTTCTAGGGCTGGAACAGTAATCCAGGCTGAATAAGGTCTTCCTGAGAAGTATGTTAGCAGCAGTGCCATTCACTGGGCTGGAAGGACCAAACAGCAGGTCCCTGGATAGCTCTTTAAGCTCAGTCCAAATGTCTGTATTCTTTGACTGGTGCCATAAATTGTTCCGCCCTCCTGACACTGGCAAGCAATGTCTGCGTGACTAGTTGGAACCAATCTCCCTTTTCCTGTATTTTATTTTTTAATGATTTGTTTTCTCCTGCTCTCTTGATGTACTGTCTCTTTCATCTGTGAAGTGCTGCAGTGCAAACAGTAACCCCTCAAGGTGATGAGCAAAGTGAATCCTACCCTGCCAGTAGCCTCTGAAGAGGGTCTAAATCTTTTTCATACTTGTTCAAGGGCATGCCTTGTATAGAAGTGAATTTTCTGCAGAAGAACTGACAGGGCTGCAGGCTGCAGTCCAATAACTGTGTTTTATGATGAGCAGCTAAACAAGGTGCCATCCTCCATCCCAGACCTTATTCTGGAATGGAGTCTGAATATCTCCTGCAAAAAGGTTTTGCCCCTCAGAGTGTTTGACAAGGCTTGTGATCAGCAGAGGATCAAGACAGGGTAAATTTAAATCCACAGTTCACAGTGGATTTGACATCCCTTTAAAATGTGTGAGAGACTAAATTTAACCCCTAACTCACGTTCCACAGTACTTTATTCAATCCCTTAGCTTCCTCTGCAGGAAAAAGAGCATAAACACACCATCATCTCTGATTTCTCCAATGCTTTCTTTGGCACTCCTTTAGCTTAAATGATAATTAAACAACATGCATTGATCTCCCTGGGAACACAACAGTACAAAAAGTGAGATGATTCTCATGAAAACAGCCTGGCAACCTTCAGCAGTAGAGGGCACAAAATACTCCTGCAGTGAGGACTCCAGGTGCCAACAACATCCATGTGATGAATGGCTGCCCACAAAGGAACTTCCCCAGCAAACTGCTAAAACTGCTGGAGTGGCCATAGCCAGACCTCAGTCTTGCAGCAACTGTGGAGATCATCCTGGACCATCTTTATTATGGTCAGCATACCAGGAATGGTTAGCACCATATCCCCCTCTGGTCATGTTGGCTCTGGGGATTTCTGGGCTACTAGGTCTTGATGCCACCATCAAGACCAAGGCACTACACTGAGCCAGCAGCTCTGTCTCTTTTTGCTGTCCTATTTGCTCTATTGTCAGAGATTATTTACATCCTTCTTTATTGAAAACCTCAAGTTTGTTTAATTAAAAAAAAAAAAGGAGTCCTGTTCCTTAAAGCAGGATTTACTTAATTCTCTCTCTGCAAATGAAGCCTGTTCCTGCTGTTGGCCAGGGATGGGTGGAATTCATAGCCAGCCAATCTGCAGAGATATCTCACTGCCGGGTGGGTGGAGAGAGAATCACAACTTTTCATGGGCTGTGTGGGACAGCAGAAGTGAAAGGAGCTGCTTTAACATATTTGTGCTGCTTTACAGCTGCCTGGCCAAGCACAAAGCCAGGTCAGCACTGGTGGCACTGGGAAAAAGGTATCAGGGTTCTCCCCTTTCCCTTCATCTGTGCAGAAGTCCCTGCTGTGTGCCTTATCCATGCAATAAGGAACTGTGTATTGTGTTATTTCCTAGGAAGGGTCAGGGAGGCAGCTGTGCAAGTGGCCTCATCATGCTGGGTGCTGGCTGAGCTCATGCCAACAGGCTGCCAGTCCCCAAGCACACCATGGGAGGAAGAGGCACAACTCATAAAAAGTGGATCCTTGTGGTGACAGCAGAAAGGATCACTCTTTTACAGCATCCAGATCCTGTTGTCCTCACTTCAAAGGCTTCATGAAATGATGCTGGAGCCTCTTTGGGATGTTCTTTCCCTGCGAAGTACTATGTCTTTACTGCTGTCTCATGTGAGCGGTGGGGTGAGGGGAGAGGGAAAGTAGTAACTTAGCCACATATAGAAGAAAATGGTAACATTTCCCAAAATGAACAAAAAATGTTGAATTTAGTTTTCCTAAGTTTCTCTCCTGCCAGGGAAAGCAGCAATTATTGGTGTGAGGGAAGAGGAGAACATCACACAGAGAGCATGTTAAATGTTGTGCAATCCCCAGGGAGGCAATTAGCACCTAGCAGGTTTTTGTATAAGGGGTGCAGATGCTGCCATGCACACACAGACACAGAGCTTAAAACATCTAGTACACCCTCAACAACTTTGAACCCCTGAACACAACCATAACTGAGCCCTTTGACCGTGTAACATGCGCTTCTGATTCACCAGAAGGGTCCTGATAGGCTCAAAATGTGAATAAATGCTGCCAGATTTATAGGGATACCAGCAACTAACCTGAAAATTGATTTTGCAAGTGTTTTTCCAACTGTAGTACAATATAAAACACAGACACATTCTGTGTTTGAATCTACTGCAAAAATTTTGGGGGATAAAAACTGATATGGGCAGCTGAGCTGTGGCTAAATGACTGGAAACTGTTTTGAACACTAAATAGCTGTGACACAGATTTCAAAAGGGCCTTTCTTTTCAGGAAAAGACCTTTCTGAAAATTTCATCAGTTATTAAAATGAAATGAAATAAAAAACACAACAAAAAACAAACAAACAAACAAAAAACCCAAGATGAACCCAACAAAAAAAGTGTGGTGACAACTGATCTGCAGATACACAGCAGTTCACACTGAAAGAGCAGCTTCAGCTTTCATTAGTGTTTGCATTTTTTCTTCTGGTAAAAACATATGAGGCTACTGATGCATGGGGAAAAGAACAGAGGCTGGGGTGGAGAGATTGAAGAGAAATACTTGACAAGTGTGAGCGAGGAGAGACAGGAAAAATCACACCAAAGTGGCAGGGGTCATGCAGCAGGGAATAGGGAGAGGTGAAGAGCAAGGACTGGAAAACACATATCCTGAAACCAGAGCACTGGTATTTACTGCCAAGCTTAAGTGTGAATAAATAGCTGCAGTCCTTTTGCTGGGGTGGCATTACACAGCACTAAGCATTTTTCTCCGAGGATCTGAATTTGCCAGGTGCTGAGCAGCTTCCCAGGAACCGTTCATCAGCCTGTGACTCTGAGACTAGCAAGGTACAGGGTGAGTGCACAGGACTTGCTATTACAAGTTCCCAGCTTTGCCAGCAGTTAGCAGATGAATTACAGCTTATTGGGCAAGATCTTTAAACAGCCCTGACAAGTATGAGGTGCATTGTGCGGAACAATGTTTTCAAAACACATCAGTCTCAAGCACAGAAAGGTCTGGGCACTCCTGGAGGGAGAGTACTGTCAGGCTGGAGCTGCTTGTAACACTTCAGGGAACAATAGCAATTGTGGTGCAATGCCTTGTAAGTCCAGTTCTTCAAAAGGTTCAACAGATTAGCAATTTCAGGAATCCAGAGATTTTTCTGAAGTTTCCTAATGAACAGTATTCACAGAATCATTGAATGGCTTGGGTAGAAGGGTGCCTTAAAGATCTAATTCCAACCTCCCTGCCATGGGCACAGACACCTTCCACTAGATCAGATTGCTCAGAGCCCATCCAACCTGGCCTTGAACATTTCCAGGGATGAGGCAGCCATATCATCCTTAGGCGGCCTGTGCCAGTGTCTTACCACCCTCACAGTAAAGAATTTCTTCCTAATATCTAATCCAAACCATATTTTTTTTCAGTTTGAATTCATTCCCCCTTGCCCTACAACTCTATGCCCTTGTCCTAAGCTCCTCTCCAGCTCTCTTGGAACACCTTTAGGTAATGGAAGGTGCTCTAAGGTCTCCCTGGAGCCTTCTTTTCCTCAGACTAAACAACCCCAGCTCTCTCAGCCTGTCCTGATATGCTTAGAAGGCTTTCAGTGCTCTGCTCTATGACTACCAGCAGCACAGGCAGAAAACATCTGCACTAACTGGTGTGGTATTTTATAGTTATGACTGTCCCTGGCTTGCTGGAACAGCCTGAGATGATGGTTAAATCTGTGGTGTCTGATGGGAGGTCACACACTGCCAGTGATGCAGAGGACTAGTAGGGAGATCAGCAGCACCACCTTTGATGGCTAAGGGAACACCAGTACATAAGGAGACATAATGATATATTCCAGTCATAAAGGTTATGTCACTGAGGGTGAACAGACAATTCTCTGTCCTGCAGCTCCATCCCCCTTGCAGACAATACAAATCATACCCATCCCTTTCTGCCATGAGACTGGGGACTGATGAGATGGGAAGTGGAGGACAAAAGTGCTCGTGGTTCTCACTTACCCTCAGCCGACGGCCAAAGACGGTGACCTGCCCTCTCGCTTGCTCCTTCCTCTGCCTCCACTCCACGAGGTTGAGGCCGTTGTCGATGGGCAGGGTGACATTCCTCTTCCCCACCGTGGGGTTGACAGTGCCAGCCAGCAGATGTGGCTCGGTCTGCAGGGCCACCTCCATGCCATTGGCCAGCATCAGTCTGAGGGAGCCATCAGCACCGATGTAGTAGCTGTTTCGGACTTGGTCTGAAGACAGAAAAGAGTTCTTTGCTGATCTTTGATGATACAGCTCCAGCTCTTCATTTGCTCCCTCACCTACGCTGCATGAGCATTTCAGATGGTTGTAACCAAATGCACTCTGTTACTCACCTGTCCCACTCAAAGGGACCAAAATATCAATTTCATCAGGGAAAGTAAACATGGACAATTGCTTTTTCATTCTGATGAGGTTCGGCATTATTGCAGAAAGTCTTCCACAGGTTAAAAAAGTGAAATAACTGTGTAATCCTTACCAAAGGATGCAGGTTCAAATATCTTCCTCTAGGCTAAAACACTGTGTGGTGAGATATTTGTTTTAAATCAGTCTGACTGAAAACTTTCCATGCCTTTATATCCTAAAGATCCTAATTTCACAACAGTATATGAGAAAGTGGGGCCACCTACTTTCCTCAGCTCATTCACTGTCTCACAAGTGACAGGAAATTGCACAGCAAGTTAATGCTAACCAGTTCCCCAAACAACAGCCAAATCCTTTCCCTTGAGAAAGCTTTCAGGAGGCAACTGAAGTCCTCATGTTTGGAGAGAAAGCAGAGGCATAAAGCTCCCACACGTCTCTATACATCTGGCCTTCACTAGCTCAAGAAAGATCAGATTTTGAGGCCAGTATTTGGGAATTCAGGAGCTGAACAGAAGAGCAATCTCTTTTCTACATCCTTCAGGAATCAGGCAGGCTGAAAGCCCATCCTTTGAATCTCCAGCTGGCATTTATCTCTGCCGAGAGTAGCTCATGAAGGGTAAGAAAGCATGAGACTCAGTGCAGAATGGCTTTAAAACATATTATACAAACACTGCCTTATCTGAAGCTCCTCAAAAGCTGGAAAATATTACCATTTCTGTCTCCCAGGCTGCCATAAACTTTTAATTGTGAATAAAAACATTGAAAATTCCCATTAAGTTTTTTTCCTTTCTGAGGCAAGCTGGGTTTTGTTCACTAGTGCTCTGCCATAGCTCAGCAGGTAATTTCACAGTGAAATTACCATTTCTTGTCCTCAAGAAATAGATCAGCAAAGAGCACAGTTTGGTACAGTTAAGGAAGGAAAGGGACACCAACCGGTCTTTTTTTATGTGGGTCTCATCCTGCTCCTGTGGTAGCCAGCTGGAGTTCTGTCACAGACACCTCAGCAGAACCACCGCTCAACTTTACACAGTAGTGATAATGAAACCGCTGGGGCACAGGATTTTGCCAAAAACACACAGCAGTGATCCACAATGCAGATCCAAGTATTTTAGCTCTACCACTGAGTATGTAAATTGATGGTCTTTGACACAGACTCCAGCCAGATCAAACCCCTTCCACGCTTGAGTCTGCACATGGAGAGAAGGGCCAGCCAATTGGCTGCCACACCTTCCTTAGATGCGTGGTTTGATGTTAAAGTATTAGGAGATGTGCTTTAAATCAAATCAGTAAAATATCCCTGAACAGGGGATATATTCCTCCCTCTTTTTTCCCTCACCAGGAAGCAGAGGAAGGCTTGAAGGTTTATATGAAATTAATCAGACACAGGATGTTCCCTTTGTTTTACACAATCACCACAGAAGGGTTATTGTCACCAGTGCTGTGGTACAGTGTGGGGAATGTAAATCCTCTACTTTCAAAATTTTCCCAAGAGAAGGCTCTTCCCTGGCTCAGGAAGGCATTTCTCAAGGGTTACATGAAATCCATGGGCCGTTGAATGCTGTTTTAGACTGCTTTGGCTCTAGGGCACTACTGCCCTACTTTGGCATTGAACAAATGCTCACTTTGTCACTAGTCCAGAAGACAAAATCCCACTGGAGTGTTGATGTGCCTGTTGTAGAAGCTCCTAAATCCATCCTACAGGAATTTGCAATCTTCTGAAAATGTCTTCTCAGATCTCACCTGTTCACAGTGTGATCCAGGTTTCCTGAAAGGTTCACCAAGAATTTGGTTCACCAAGCCACCTCTTCTGCAACATTATCCAGATCTTTGTTTAAAGTGAGTTTCTTCAGATGCAAACAGTTTCATAATTCTATACTTCTGAAGATAGTTAAGCTGTTTGCAATTCTGCATGTCCTGATGCCAGAATGTCCCTGTGCTGGAGGGCAGGACAATGACAGAATTGACTGTGGTGCCATTATGTAACTGTGCCTTCAGTGCTGAGTGTATAAATCACACACCAGTCAATTTTGTCACTAAAGGGCCCCCAACAGTGGGATCCATTGCTTAATTAGGCTCTTGAGGTGAAGCCAACCTCATGTCTGTGCTGTCGCCACACATCTTAATGTGAATCAGTGAAATGGGGTGGGGTAGGTTGCATCTGTCTTACAGGCTCAAGTAAAGAATAAGAAAGTCATGGTGCTTCCCTACAGGAATATGGGGACAGCTTGAGGGGGTTGGAACCCTCTCAGCTGCCCTGTCCAGAAGGGTAAAAGCAGTATTTCAGGCTTTCAGGTTGTCAGTTTTCAGGCTTTTCATAACAGGCACCTTCTTTTAGGAAAGGTTGATGTTGTTACAGGGAGGGGGAAAGAAATGGTATCCCAGAGATGTGGGAATAAATGTGACTCTGGAATACCCTTGCCCCACTTGGAGCAGTTTGCTCCTCACAAGGAAAAAAAATGTTTCACACTCCACTGTAATCAGTCACTGCCAGAGTGAATGAGATTTGGGGAGGAAAGAAAGCAGAGTCTGAAAGTTCCTTCCCTTTCCCCAAGCCCCAGAGAACAGGTGTGATAGCTCATCCTGATCCTAAGGAGGTTTCAGCTTTTAGAACCCAGAGATCCAGGCTGGCACTGTGCAGTACAGGTTCTGCCATTACCAGCATGTCAGCACAGTGCTCCCCTGCTATTTATTCCTCTTTTATTTCCCACTTCATTCCCTTTTCCTCCACCTAATCAGTCCTCTGCTTCCCACCTTCCTACCACAGGCACAACTGTGCTCATCTCCACACAAAGTGGTCCCACCAGTCCTACCCCACCTGTCCACTTCTCCTTTGTGCTTCTCCACACTACCTCTTAGCTCAAACACAGACCTTTTGGGCACAGGGATGGTCATTTTTCTGGATGCTTCCTTGTGAATGTTTGAAACACCAGTGAACAAAGAATCAGATCTTCAGCAACCAGCTGGAAGTCTGTTGCAGAAGGAGAGCAACTGTAAAGTCAGAAGCCATTAAGAGACTGAAGCAAAGGGGTTGGCTGGAAGTGTGGCTTGATTTATGCAACCCTTTAAGTTACAACAATAATGGTAATGATGGTGGAGGACTGTGCTGCATGAGCCTGCATGGCAAGGGGACTGACTGAGAATGGAGCAGAAAAACAGCTGCAGAGGGAATGAGGCTAAGTAGGTGTGAGTGTGTGTCTGTACCAGCATGTGAGGAGCTCTGGTGCACTGAGAATGCAGGTGATTTTTGGTGCTGGGATTATTAAGATGATGTCTGTTTCCTGATCCATTGTGTGCAGTTTGGTCAGGAAAAGGATGGTGCCCCACCTCACCTTGGAGCAGGGTGTAGAAGGCCCCCGATGCTGACAAATTGGTTGTTATTGTAACATCATCCTTGCTGGAGGTTTCCACCTGGACATGCACGGAGCTGTCGGTGTCGCTGCGGAAGCTGCTCACTTGGCCAGTAGGGAAGGTCACGTTGGTCAGGCGGCCAAAGCTGTCATATCTGAAAGAGAGAATGTAATGAAGTCAACAGCATCAACAGAGGATGAATTATCCTATAAAGCACAGATCAATTCTTTAAGTCATCATCCAGATTTTTCAGAGAGAAAAAATGCACTGTCACTCTTTCAGACAGTCTTGACTTTTTCTGTCCTCATGAGAAGAAAATTACAGCTTTTAGCTGAAGAAATTGAAGCAAAGAATAGAAAATTACTAAATGCATATTAGCTTGTATTTTAACAATATTTTTCCAACACTCCTCACCTGCCCTATGCTTCTTGTTTACAACAGTAACTTTATTTCCCATCTACTATGCTATGACTTACAGAAAAGCACTGGCCTGTGCATCCTGTCTAGCAGAACTAAGAATTTCTGAAGACCACCAACTGATTTGTCTGGTTGTGTCCTGAGCTCAGCAATTTATTTCAATTTTTTGCCTATCTAATTTTAAAAAGCTAAATATTAAGGTAGCAGCAAGGACCAGACTGGCCACATCAGATAGAGAATTGTCCTTTGTGAACATGGTGTAGAGTCCTGAGCACAGCTGAACCCCCGTGTCTACCTTTTACTATTCCTAGGACCATATGGAAGGACTGATTTAAAAGTGTAAAAAAGCAGACCAGTTTTCACCCCTACTGTGTCCTTGGGCTTTCCAATGAGGAATCAACATAAGCACCATCTGGGAAGGTTTCTGTGATGTGGACACCTGTGTACCAGGGCCCAGGTAAAATAAGCTTCATACATGCAGGCCCCACAGCAGTTAACAAGCTGGGGGAGTTATTTTTTTGGTAAAAAGAGAAACAGACACTTGTGTCTAGAGCCCTCCTGACTTAAGAGAGCAAACACATCATTATGCCTCCCATCTGTGGCATTACAAAAAGGTTCACAGACCCAAAAGGCTAGCAAGGGACCTCTGAAGTGAGGTTATTGTAGTAGAAATGGAGAGCAATATGGAGCTCTACTGGCTGATCTTGGGAGGGCTGTTGGGCCTTCTGAGGAGAGGGACCTTCAGGGAAGGGGTATTTAAATAGTTAGGGAGAAACAGAAAAATTCCAGAAAATCAATCAGGGATAAATACTTGACTTTTTTCAAGTTCTGCCCACAACGCTTTTAAGAATGATTTATATGACACTAAGTAGATCATATTATGAAAATGTATCACTTGGGGATGAAAAGTAAATGGTGGGCAAGCAAAGAGGTCTTGTTCTCCTGTGCTACCCATTGGTGAGCCTTTGAAAAAATGCACTGTCCAGTAAAGGGCACCATTCCTCAGAATGACAAAATAATGTAAATGATACATTAAGGATAACAAGATAAGGATAACATTAGAAAACCTGATGTAAGAGGCAAAGCCAAAATAGAAGACTTCTTTCAGAAAAGGGGAAACAAAAAAGTGGGAAGATGCCACCCTAACAATGGGTGTTCTGAAGAGGATTATAATAAATTGCTTATCATGGCTACTGAGGATGTGACAGAAAGTAAATGGAAACAATGAAAATTCAGGTTAGAAGCTGCAGAACAGTTTCAAGGCCCATGGTTCCTCCAAGCAGAGGAACAGATGGAGCACTGGAAACCCCTTTCAAGAATGAGTTAGAGAAATGTCTTAGAGGGGATCTGGATACAGATGATCAGACCTTGGAGGGAGCAGATGGTTGAAGAGCTCTTGATGCTTTTTTTGGGACTACTCTGAGCTGGGGAATAAGAAAATACACCCCATCTAATAACAAAAGCCAGAAACCAACCAAAAACCCAGAAGAGGGGAGTGGAGTGGAAGGGGGGGTATGGGGGGAGGGCAGGGCAGGGCAGGGGAGGGCAAGGCAGGGCAAAGCAAACACAAAGTACTCTTGAATGGCAGCTGATGAGAGACCCCTGAGCAGTCACTGGACTGGCTCTGCACTATACAGAAAAAAACTTGTCTCCTCTTCCACTCTCATTTTTTTCAGATTTGAACACAGTGCTGGTACTTTACTTTTGGAATATGGTGGCAGAGATTTAATGTGAGGAAGGGCTGATTAAAAAGATGATTTTTGCCCAAGTTTAATTATTTAGGTTATAGTGACTAAAGGGCGACCTCATTGCAATCCCTCAGGTTTGAAGACATCATCACATGAGGCTTTTCTTGCCCACTGAGCAGAAGGGGAGGTAGTAAGATAGGAGAAAGCATTTGCCCTCTACAGTCAGCCTCTCAGTCATGGATTATCCAAGTCTTGTCCTTTCTCTCAAATATCCTAGCAATCAATCAGCCACTTGTAAAATGGAAAAGAAAGAAGAAAAAAAAAAAAAAAAAAACAAGAAAAGGATGAAAACAGGACTACACTGCAGGAGTTTGGCAGAGATCAGTTAAAGCTTTTCCAAGCAGCTAGCAGCACACAGCCTTGATCTGAGCTGCATCCACACAAGAGCCAGAGCTAAAGTGCTCCCAGTACCAAACAATTTATTCCAGATTTGTGGCTGCCCTGTTTGCAGTGAGACAAATGTGTTTTGCTTGCACTGTCTCCAATCACCTGCACATCTCCTCCTAAACCAGCATGTGAATCTTAAACAGAAAACATCACAGGCAGTCTCTTTATCCCATCTGCTGAGACAAGACACAAGGGATATGATTTAGTCTCTCCTCTGAGCAGAGAAAACATTGTTATCACTGAAGGTGCATTGTGTAACACCCCAAATTCCTTCTACCACAACATCAGTAGTCCTATATATAAAAATCAGTCTGAACTGTAAGGGCAGAATCAACTTTGGAAACGTTACAAAGTTTCAGTAAGATAAATCTGAATTTGGCATCTCTTACTTGCTGGATTAGTAGGTATGAGTGATTTATTTCTATTGCTTAATTTAGATTTTAAAAATGAGCTGTTCCTAAAAGTAAGCGTGATTCACCTCCTAAAAATAATGTCACAAATCTAGATGTGTTGCACCGAAGTCCAATGGGTGAGTTTGGTGTAACAGGTGTATAAAAGGAAGCAGATCTGCAGGTTAGGGAAATAAGGAGTTCAAAAGCTAGGATGCAGACAGAGAGCTTGTTCATGTGACAAGTGCTGAGTCAATGTCCTGTGAGTCACAGCTTTTTATCCTAATTGAATGGCACTCAGAAAAATGCTGAGAGTGTGCACAAAACCTTTGCTCCATGCAAGTCTATTTAACTCAGTTTAACGGCCCCCAGCAGCAGTAGACAGACAACTCTTTATATTCATCAAATCACAGAAACACAAATTGGTTTGGGGTGAAAAGGACCTTACAGATCATCTTGTTTCACCCACCTCACCATGGGCCAGGACACCTTCCACAAGATCCCATTGCTCTGAGCCCCATCCAACCTGGCCTTGAACACATGCAGAGATGGGGCAGCCAGATCCCCTCTGGGCAACCTCTGCCAGTGCCTCACCACCCTCACAGTAAAGAATTTCTTCCTATCATCTACTCTAAAACCTACCCTTGTTCAGTTTAAAGGCATTTCCCTTTGTCTAAACGCAGGATGCTCTTACTAAAAGGCAAGCAGTGCCTTTTTATATAACATTATGTAGTGTAAAATAAGTATTATTTTACATAGTATTTCTGTAGTGCCTTTTTAGTAGTATTTTTACAATACTCCTGGACCTCAAGCTTCTAGCACTCTCACAAATGGTTCTCCACCTCTGCTGGGCAAATAAATATTATTTGCAAATATGCAACTGGAGAAATCTGCCAGTAACCTTTCCATGTGCAAATTAAGTTCAAATGGCATGAAAAAAAAAGAATGAAAGAGTGTGATGGCACTTAGACCTCTGTGCACAGATTTTTCTTGTAAAGTCAAAATGACTAAGTACAATACACTTAATTTACATGATTACATTTTTACAGGTGTACAAAACTCACAGTACTTCATCAAGAGCAAAGACTTCCATTTGGGACTTTGGATCCTGAGAAGCAAGGCTCCTTTTGGGCCAGAACAGTCTGGAATGATCTGTTGGAACTGGTTTAAGATGTCTGCAGAAGTACATTAGACTTTTGGCACATCCTTAGTCACCCCATTAACCTCCTTCGGAAGGAACTAGGACCATCTGTGTTTTCTGCATGTGCAGGAGCTGCTGCACCTCTCTGCCCAGCAGCCAGACAGGGACCTGCCAAGGACTGGCTTTGGGGGGACAGCTTACTGATTTGCAGCTGCAAGAAAGTCCTGCCTTACAAAAGAAGAAAAATTAGAAGGTAGAGCAATAAGATGGTTCCCATTTTTATTATTATTTTTAACTGGTGACAGATGAAGTGTAAAATGCTCACGTCCAGACTAAAGCTCCTTTTAGGACTGTGGTGGCAATGCAAACGGAGGTGTGGGAAGCCCATTAGCATGAACACACACAGCGTTTTCTTCTTGGCAAGCAGTTCTTTTTTCTGTTTTTACTCAGAACTGGAGCATTTTCTCCCTTTTCCCCGATTTAGCTCACACAACACATACCTGTCACATATCCACAGTCTCCCAGGGATGTGAAGACTTGCACATCCCAGAGACAATATGCTTAACAAATTAAATGTGCCGGCTCCTTCCACCTCTGCTTTCAGCCCTATAAAGGCCCTTACAGGGCACACCTCAGCTTGGAGAGGAAGGCCAAATGACTGGCTCTTATGTAGCTGCAGGTGTGCCCTGGTATTTGCAGTAACATAAATCTCTCCTAGTCACCTCATTTTGCAGCTAAGCTGCTTAGCCTGTTTCCACAGCATCAGGATTTAGGGCTGGGCCAGTTTTCATCACAGCCTAAGACTTCTGTGCTCTCCAAATGCTCTGAAAGCCCCAGAATTAAGGAAATACTGAAGCATGGGAGTGCACACAGCAGCCACTTGGAGCAATGAATCCATCACCTGCTAACACAGCTGCTGCCTCCCATTCAAACCTGCTGCAAAGCCTCAGCACTTACAATTACAGTGGCAATTATTAGGCCAGCAAAGGAATCCGTTGCCATCCATTCCCAACTGGAAACGTACTTAGCTAAGGTTCAATGCACAGAATTAAAATGGTATTTGGTGCTTATG